GCCCCAAGCCTAGGCTAGCCAAGCAAGCAGATTCTGCCCCCTAGGGTGAGGGGCAACAGGCACTTGCGGGTGTTCCACGCCTACCACGCACACTGTCCCACTGGGGCTGGACTGCAGGGACCTGAGTTCTGGGATGAACGAGCGTTCTGGCTGCCACTGACTTGGCCCCTTCTGGGTGCCAGGCCTGGCCTGGAAGCAGGCAGCAGAGACGTACCAAAATTTCAGGAGCGTGAATAGGTGCAGTGGGGTGCAGTCAAAGAGCCAAGTGTCTGAGAACCTGGTAGGCACGGCCACACCCTGGCACTGCCAGGCTCCTCTTCCTCTTCTGGGTACCCATTTCCTGGTAGCTTCAGATTCAGCTCAAATGTCACTTCCTCTGGAAAAGCCACATAAAGCAGTGTCGTTTTAACATTTTGCTCACAACCCCCAATAAGAACTACATTTTACATCCTGAGTTAATGCACACGCAGAGACTCATACACATAACAAACGTCTCACAAAACAAGACTTTCCCTTACTACCTGCAAAGTACTCTGATATTTTCTACTCTATTCTACTTTGTTAAAAAAGAAAGAAAAGGAGGGAGGAAGGGAAAAAGGAAGGAGGAAGGAAGAAAGAGGGAGGGAAGGAGTTTGGTCACACCTGCTAATTTGGCAATCCACAGTTTAACACTAATAGCAAGGTGCTGCTCACTCTCCAGGCCTGGCTGCATCCACTGGCGCCTCTGCTAGTTCTGCTGGCAATGACATTTCACACTTTGACTCACTATGGAAGCCTCCCAACAGCGCCAGGTCTTTGTCTTCTGCTGCTCCCTCCAGTGGGAATCCCCTGCTGGGGAGGCCAGTAGATCACCACTTGCTAGATAAGGGGCCTGAGCTCAGGCCCATGAGGGGGCTGTGCTGAGGTTCACAACCAAGGCTGTACTTTGAAGAGGGAAACCCATCTACCCCTAGGCATCACAATCCAAGGCAGGGGTACAATAGGAGCAGGGAGCCAAAAGAGGTGGTGGCTGCTTGGCTGAGTCTCAGGACCCCCACTGTATTTGAACCCTCTCTTTACACTACTGTCTCCTCTGCCCTCCACGCACTCTCTAAACACAAACAGTTCTTTGTCTCTACTTCTTCCAGGTCTGGGGGGAACAAAAGTTTATACAGTACTGCTGTTCCCTGGTAGAGATCATAATAAATTAAAGACATATTCTCCTTGTGTTGAGGACTTCAGAAAAGTGCTAGAATCAGCTCCATTACTGCTGCAAAAGGCAGGGTGAATTTCCAAGATGAACCAATGTGTCTAGGGTTCAAACATAAGGCTTTCTTTGAGAGGCTCTTGGTCAGCTAACCATCCACTGTTTTATATTGATTGGGACAATCTTCAACACGTTAATTCTGACAATAATCATCATTTTATGACTTTTGTTACCATCTGAGCAAATGTTTCAAAGCATTTGCATACAAATTAAAACCCAAAAGATCTTTAATAACCTTGAAGGGAAAAGCTAAGTATTGTATCATTGATTATTAATAAGATTCTGATCTTAAGTAAAATGGTAACTGCTCAATGAACAGTCATCTCCTTGTACATACATACTGAGAAATCTTTGCACGTTGATTTTTTTCCTTATGACTTTCAATTTTGCTGGGATCATAAATTGTCCAATACTGTATACTGCCTAGAAGCCATTCCCCATCCTTAAAGAAAAACCTGTTTTCTTATTCTTGACTTTCAGTTGGCTGCTTCTGAACTCTTTTCATCTTGGCTGCACCCCGATGTCTCCTCTGCCTGCCCTTCCCAGGAAGAAACCCCTGGCAACCCTCAGACTTCCTTGTACATGCCCTTTCCAGTCTCTTTGAGGACTCTGAAGCCCCCTGCTTGGGAGCTCTCTGAGGCCAGGCCATGGCTGTCCAGGTCATCGCCCCGAGTACCAGGTAGTGGCTGGGGAAATGTTTTATGAGAGAATTACTCCACTCAGGGCCCTTGGACAAGTCTCCCCACACCCCAGTACCCTGATTTCTCCTCTATATGATGGGAGTTGGTGCAGAGCCTCTCAGCTCTGGTAGTGAAGGGCTCGCCTGATTTCTAGTGGTCTGGGATGAAGCTACACTACAATGGGGCTGGGCTTAGGCTCCAGGTACCCACCAGGTGGGTGCAGGGTGTCCATCACAGTTCAGCTTCCTAGTGCCATCTGTGGTGGGACCTCATAGTGGGGCAATGGGGGGGGGATATAAGAGGCACAGTGCCAAGGCAGGTGCTGGTGGGGGGATGTTCCTTAGGGAGAAGGCAAACCTAGAATTCCTTGACCTCATAAGGAAACAGCCCAGATCCCTATGGGGAGGGGTGGCATGGGGGAGGACTGAGCAAGCACTCTGTACACACAGGCCTCTGGGAGAGGGGCCAGCATTGCAGAAGAGGGCTGGAGAGGTGCTGGAGAATCGGATTTTGCCAAAACTAAAAAATCCACAAGGCAGCCTCTGAACAGCTCAGAGCCCAAACTGTCATTCCCTCCCCCCCAACCCCACTCTGAAAGATAAGGAGTAAGCCCTTGCCCTGCCCAAGGCTCTCCTGCCTTGTATTGCCATGCACGTGTCTTTGGGGACCCACACACCTCTACTCACATTGCTGGGGACAGAGCAGGGCCTTGCCCTTACTCTAAAACTGGGCCAACAGCAACTCTTCTTTGATAGGGTCTTTGTGTGTGGTCAAAACAGATCCCCAACTCCTCACCACTGCCGGGCGTGTCTACCTCTTCCCAACCCATGAGCAAACCTCCATGGAGAACTGGTCTGTGACCTTTACCAGCTGGGTCAGCCAGTCTGGACCTGATCAGCGCTCTCCCCTCTTCTTCCCCTGTCACCAGCCTTCCTCTATGAGACCAGTGACGGCACACGTCATCTCTTCATAGTCGCAGTTCTGGGTGTGCCCAATAAGGGGCACGCTACTTGGCTCCATGTTCCATCAGATGGCTTTGTTTAGAACACTGCTGTCTCCTGCTTTTCATTCTCCATGGGACAGCCCTTTCTGGTCAAGGCCCTCACCGACTCCTAGCCACAATCCAGGCTCCTGAGCAAACTTTGGCAACCTTCCATGGTTTGCCACTCCCCTGTGCCCCCTGCATGGCCATCTCCTGGGTGATGCTGGACCCAGGGCCATCCCGACAGGAAAGGAACCCTCCCCCCAACTCGCCTCCCCTCAGTGCCCAAAGTGGATAGTGTGGTGGGCTAGGCGGGCACATGCTGTGTGCACACGTCACGTGGCGCCCTCTGCCCGTGCCCATTGGCACGCCCGGGCCCCTTCGAAGGCTGCTTGCTCCCGGAGTGAGGGCGGCCTCCTGGCCCAATGCTCCATTTTCTCCGGGTGGAGCGAGGGAGGGGCGGTGGGAAGCGGCGGGCGCAGGTGCGCAGGCGAAGGCCGTGCAGGCTGGGAAGGCCGGCCTGGGGCAGGGGGTCTG